AGGAAGCTGGAGGAGAAGAGCAGCTTGGCTGGGAGAAGGGAGGAGAGGGCGTCTCAGACACCGGGCTCAGAGAGAGCCCGGGCACCCTTCCCCGGCCCACTTCATTCTCACCCAAGATCTTCAGACTCTCGTTGCCAATGCCATCAGTGGCATACTGGCCCCAGTAGATGCAGAAAAACAGGAGGCTCAGGACTGAGGGGAGAATGGGCAGAGGGAGGAAAGACAGAAACGGGCTTTGGGGCATCACTGTTCCCTAGCACTGTGATCCAGATGGCCAGAACCCCTCCTTCATCCCCATCAGGATTCAAGACTATTTATTCCCACTGATGTCCTGGGAGACTCCTGAGTTCAAGCCCCAGCCCCACCTCTGCAGGACCCAGATTCCAGGCCCACAGCCCCCTCCTCCCTCAGACCCAGGAATGAGGCCCCCAGCTCCCTCCTCCCTCAGACCCAAGAGTCCTGCCCCCAGCCCCTTCTCCCTCAGACCCAGGAGTCCTGCCCCCAGCCCCTCCTCCCTCAGACCCAGGAGTCCCGCCCCCAGCCCCTCCTCCCTTAGACCCAGGAATGAGGCCCCCAGCTCCCTCCTCCCTCAGACCCAGGAGTCCTGCCCCCAGCCCCTCCTCCCTCAGACCCAGGAGTCCTGCCCCCAGCCCCTCCTCCCTCAGACCCAGGAGTCCCGCCCCCAGCCCCTCCTCCCTCAGACCCAAGAGTCCTGCCCCCAGCCCCTCCTCCCTCAGACCCAGGAGTCCTGCCCCCAGCCCCTCCTCCCTCAGACCCAGGAGTCCTGCCCCCAACCCCCTCCTCCCTCAGACCCAGGAGTCCTGCCCCCAGCCCCTCCTCCCTCAGACCCAGGAGTCCTGCCCCCAACCCCCTCCTCCCTCAGACCCAAGAGTTCTGCCCCCAGCCCCTCCTCCCTCAGACCCAGGTATCTGGACCCTAGCTCCCTCCTCTGACAGAACTCAAAGTTGTGATACTCTAAACCTCACCCTCCACTCCTGCTGCAGCCATGAACATTTTATAAGTTGTGTGGAGTAACTGTCGACCTTTCAGCAAATCTAGAAGAGAGGGAGGGTCAGGTGGTTCACAGACAGGAAGGAATGTAGCTCATCTATGCCAGTCCTGCCCCCCATAACTCCTAACCCCACCACTACCACCATGTCCTGGACTCACATCCAAAGTAACAGGAGAGGAAGAAGATGAGGATGAAGATGAGAAGGAAAGTCACGTCCGTCTCCAGGATCCCTGCCGATTTGGAAGAAGGAGGAAATGGTAAGGTCCAGATAGCCATCCCTCAGCAGGCTTCCACTCTGACGTCCCTCAAAGATCCTGGCTTCTGGGTCCCCCTATGCTCACCAAACTCATCAGCCGAGAAATGCCGAGTCCAGAAGGACTTGCCATTGGTGAGGACCATCTCGTACTCCAGCTGTAGCCCATCTCCCTGTGGAGAGTGTGTTAGCCTAAGTCAGGGAGTGGGGGGTGGGGGGAGGTGCTTGGCAGGCAGGGGGTCAGCAGGAAGGCAGGAAAGAGAAGGCCCAGGTGGCCGGCCCAGCCCCTTACCCCACACTTGCTGAGTGCGATGTACCACCACCTCTCTCGCACTGAGCGGAAGCTCCGGCCACTGGAGCAGCTCAGGTAACGAGTTCCCTCCTCTGACACTACCTGAAAAGGAGCAAGAAGAAGGCTGAAGCCTGTCTGCACAGCCCTGAGGCTGTCGGCCTTCAGCACCTGCCCACTCCCAGACTGGGCCCATACCTGACAGCCTGACCAGGCGTACTGGGTGGTAAGGTTGATGACTTGGTTGTTCTCGGGCCTGATCACTGACTCCTTGGCCAGGCAGTCCTGGGGAAGGCAGGGACTAGGTCACCCTCTGGCCAGCCTCGACCTTCTCCTCCCTCCCATGTAACCTCCTCACAGCCTTTACCTTGTCCCCTGCCTTGTACACAGCCGGCCACTGGGATGGGTCGTCGAAATAGAGGAGGATGTTCTGACAGCACTTGGCCTGTAAACCCAGAGCTTTTGAAGTTTGGGGAAGTGCGGGGAGCTGGGCTGGCCCTTGCCTCAGGAGGCCAAGGGAGTACCCAGCCTCAGCATGGAGACTGGCTGGGGAAGGCTCACCTCAGGGTATCGGAAACGGAAGTCCAGTCGGCCGTAATCCGAAAGAAAGCAAAACCTCGTCAGGAACACCCAGTCCTGGAAAAGGGGCCCAGTCCGAGTCCTTTGAGAACTCCCCTGGACTCCATAGGCCTTCAACTTTCCTCCCCTACCCTTCGGTACTTGGTTCCCACGAAACACAAGGGGACCAAGTTACCTCCCAGATCCTTCTGTGATCCCTTCACCTTGGGTCCTGGATTCTTGCCTCAGATGCCCCCCACCCAAGTTTCTTCTCCCCTCAAACACTTCTCCCGTTTTCCAAGTGCCTTGAGAAAGACCCTGGAGGCCAGATCCCCACCCTGGCCACGTTCAGTCCTAGACTCCACCTGACTGCCATCCCTCCCTCCCGGGGGGTTATCCACACACACACGCCCCCACGGTGGTCCCAGAGACCATCTCGTGCTGGGGAATATTCCAAACGGCTCTCTCCCGGGCCTGAGCAGGAGTGTGAACTCCAGGCTCTCCGCGGAGTGAAAAGTGCTGTCCCTTCAGCACCACCTCGGCGTCCCCCCAACCCCCACTCCAAACTCCGACTCTCCCAACCTGTCCCTCCTCCCCGCCCAGCTCTGACCTCAGTGTCCCTCCTGCAATCCCCAAGTCTCTTCCCCACCCCACAGCCCCTCTCGGCCTCAACACTGACCCAGCCCCCCCACGCCGTAACCCTCAGCCCCGTTCCCCCCCGCGGCTCCCGCGGCTCCCGGGGGCCGCCCGGGAAGGGCGGCAGGGGGCGGGGCGGCCCCCCCTTTCCTTCGCGTCCCCGGGGGCCCGGCGGGCGGCAGGGGAGGGCCCAGCGCGCTCACCTCTTTGGAGCTGAGGTTGCCCCGCACGTACTTGGCCCGGGCGCGGGGGGGCAGCGGCAGCAGCAGGAGCAGCAGCGGCGGCAGCAGGCGGCGCAGAGCGGGCGCGCGCGGGGGCTCCATTCCGCCCGCTCCGGGCCCCGGCCCCGGCCCCGGCCCCGGCCCCAGCTCGGCTCCGGCTCCGGCCGGCGACAGCGGCGAGAGCGCGCGGGCCGGCCAGCGCGCGCCCCCGATTAAAGGGGCCGCCGGGCGCTGCGCTCCCCGCCCCCCTCCTCGGGGATGGCCCGGCCTGGCGCCTTCCCAAGCGGTGTGACAGAGGACGCCCCTTTCCTAGCCTCTCCACCCCGCCCCAGCCTCAGTTCTCCCCTCTGGGGGTGTCCCTGATACCTCTGGCTCCCCGTGTCCTACGCTGAACTCCCGTTCCCCCAGCCATGCCTCCTCCTCCAGACTGCCATCTCGGGGTGACCCCCAACCCACAGACCCCAGCTCTGTCCTGACTTCCCCCAGATTTAGTCCCCAAACTGCTCTTTGATTGCTCATCCCCGCCCCCATGACAACCATCCCCAGCTGTGTCCACCCGCGATCCCATGGGCTCTGTGAAGTGCCCACAGGGACACCGAAGAGGGAAAGGGCACACCACTTGTTCTGGGCCAAAACCACTACACTCTGTTGCCTGACCCTGTCCAGTCGCCGCTCACCAGGGTGTGAAATCTGGCTGCTGTGAGGCAGAAGAGGTGGTGTTGTATGAAGCCCAGAGCAGAGTGAAACCAGCCGCCTGGGTTCAAAACCCAGCTTTGCCACTTTCTCATTAGACCTCCGCCAAGTCGTGTGATCTCCCACTTCAGTCCCCTGCCGGCTGGTTCCAACCTTATGGTTTCCCAGTGGGCAATGAGGATCCCTGGAAAGGCTTAACAGAGTAGCATCCAAGTCCCTCAGCTTCGTTTTCCTGATCAGATTCCAACAAACATTTCTAGCTTCATTCCTCCCCCTTCTCTGAAAAAAAAAAAAAAGTGCTGCTCCTCAAAATATCATTTTAAAAAACTTTCTAAGCCAGGGGCCAACAGGAAACATAAGTGCATGAAACACTTCAGTGTAAGAGAGTGTGAGCCCCATGAAAAGGCGGCCTCGGCTACTTGGCTTGAGCCAGTTGTTGCCAGAAGGGATAGTAGGTCTACTGCCAAATTTCTTTCTTTTTTTCAGACAAGCCAGAAATGTGTTGGGCTTTTTTTGTTTTGCTTTTGTTTTAAAGCATACTGATTTGTAATGGTGGGTAATGAATTAAAAAATTTTAAATGTATCTTGGGCCAAAGTAAAAAGCCTGTGTGGCAGGTTCGGGCCTCATCTGCCATTCCTGTCATGATCCTTCAAACACAGTTCCAAGCCCACCAGACCAGGAGCCCAACAAGGGCAGGGACTGGACATGACTCACTCTAGGTCCCAGGATAGCCTCGGGATATGGACTGAATGAAAATAGTCTTCTATATGTCCTCCTCCAGGCCTTGCACATGCTATGCCATAGAACAGCAATTTGGTATTGCCTGAAATGTTTTTCCCCTATTTACTAGTAAGTTCTTAGTAATCTTAAAACATGTAAAGTCTAGATCTGTTTCTTTCTGAAGGACTCCCTTATCACTAGGGCAGTGTCATCACTCCCTCCTTGGACTCCCTCAGCCCCTCCACCTCTCTGTCTCTCAAATGCAACCACTGGGGCCAGACCGCCCACCACCAGGCTAGAAGTCTCCTGGGGACAGAGCCACAGTAGCGCTTACTCTGGCGCCCCAGCATCACCAGAGCTGAGCCCAGCACATAGTTGGCTTCAGCGGGTGAATATCTTAAACTGACCGAAGCCCCAGGTTTCTCCAGGCTGCTGGCCCCTCAAACCCCAAGAAGGTAACAAGTGATGGTAGCTTCCCCTCCATCTTGGACACAGAACTCAGCAAAGCAAAGCTGCTATCCTGGGTCAGCCACTCACTAAAAATCAAGAGAACCATGTAGAAGTTACTTTATTGAGGTGATTAGGAGTGCCGGTTTCCTGTCTCCTGTCCAGCCCCCTCAGTACAGTCTCATGGGTGGAAAAGACCAGGCCTCTGGGCTGCTCTGGGCCACTACCCAGGAGAGGCTGGGCAGTGGGGCAGGGGGGCTGGGGCTCCAGTCCAGGGCAGAGGTTCCGGGCAACAAGGGTGATGGTGGCTGAGGCAGGGGCTGTTGTGGCCCAACCCCCCAGGGCCGCGGAGGGGGCGGTGTGGCTACCAGCCAGATGCTTTTCAGCAGATCAAAGGCTGTTGGGGGGCCCCAGGCTGCCCCAGATGGTGAAGGCAACAAGGGCAAGGGGGGTGGCCAGGGACCTTTTGATGGTGCCAAGCTCACCCTATGCACCATAGGAGTGCTGGAGCTGTGAGCAAAGGTGAGCTCCTTTGTCCTCTGTTGCCTCCTCTGCCTCCCCTCCCCTGGGCACTGGTTGGGGCTTTTGATCCAGGAAGGTGTCATTCTTTGGCTTTCAGGGCCCCCAGTCTTGGTCCCTGGAACAAAGGAAAAAAGCATTGGGGACAGCTAAGCTAGAGCAGACAAAGGGAAGGAGCATACAGGGAGCTAGAGCAGACAAGGGGAAGGGGAGTACAGTGAGTACAGGTAGGCTCACCTGGTAAGGGCGGCTGGCAACCACGGAGCACCAGAGTGAGGTCAGGCACACAGCCATGGCAGGCCTGTAAGGTGCTCACAATGGCATCCCTGGCTTCTTGCACTAGGTTCCTCCTGGGGAAGGCCTGTGGCAGAATCAGCTGGCACTGCAGCTCCTCCAACAGCTGCCCGAAGCCAGGGAGCTTTGCGGGACTGGAACTGGGCAGACCTGGGCCTGAGCCTCTAGGGACCTGGTTCTCCTTGCCTCTTGACTGTAGAGCTGGTTCTTGCACTGGGCTTGGGCTTGGGGAGGGTTTGGCAGGGAGTGACGGGGTGCCTGGTTCCAGGGGCCCACCTCTAAGCAGCCGAGCCACGTCCAGAGATTTCACCTCATGGTTGAAAAGACCCCGGTGCTCCCGGCTCAGCCGGCCCTGGGTTATGACCACAAGCTTGGGAGCAGTAGGGGCCACAAGAGGATCTTGACTGGTCACAGAAGGATGCTGACAGGTCAGTGGCCGGCGGCTGCCCATCAGGGCCTCATTACGCTCCCGCCTGGTCTTCCGACGGCGGACTCGACCAGGTTTCTCAGGCCGCTGGAAAGGCTGGGGGGCTGGCCCCCGGGGGTCCATAGTGTCCTGGAAGAAAAAGCTAGAATGGCCATCAGTATGCAAGTAAGTCGGGGACTAAGAGTGAAAGGTGAGAAGAGGAGACAGTTTGGGGTGAGGTGGAAAGATGAGAGTATTTACAGAGACAAGAAGAGAGTAAGGTAGTAAGGAGGGAATCTTTGGCAAAGGCTTGGTCAGGAAAGGAGTCATAGGGGTCAGATGGAGTCAAAGGAGTCATGGTAAATGAGATTTGCCAGGGAATAGAGAAAGGGTTACAGGGTACAGGGAGATAAGGAAATAGCTAGAAGATGGGGGACAGGACAGCATCATGAGACCACAGGGAGCTGGTGAACCAGAAAGGGACTGTGAACAGAGGAGAAATCCAGGGGTAGAGGAGGTACTAGAGAACGCAGGGAGACGTGGCAGAGAAGGAAAGGCAGAAAAAAAGCTGGAGACAGAGAAGACCTTGGGAAAGCAGAAGGGGCGATGGAGCAGCTACAAGGAACTGGGGCCTACTCACGGGAGTGAGGTGGCCCAGGGTAGGAGACAAGGAAGGGGTGGGCAGTTGAGGTTAGGAAGGGGGGGGTGCAGTTGGTGGGGGCAGGGCGTCGAGCACCTCACCTTCTCCTGGACCAACGAACCCCGCCCCCACCCACCCCCCGTGGCTGTGGGGTGCAGTGGCTTCTTCTCCGCGGTAAGCCCAGCTCACGACGCACTGGGCGTCTCTTCCAGGCCTCACGCTGAGCCTCATGCGCGCTGTGCGCATGCGTGTGCCCCACCCACGCCCTTCGGCTTCCTGCTCCCGTGAAGCACGAGGCGAGGCCCAGAGTGCCGGTTATAGTCCCGCCCATTCCAGCCTTACTTTCAGAAACCTCTCTCATTTGTCTTTGGACACCTCCGATCCACCAATTGGCTGCAAGGCCCGCTGGGGCCCGCCCCCTTCCTGATTGCTGATTGGCTCAGATGTCTATTGGCGGACTTTCTGGAAAGTGCGAAGAGGCGAGGCACTAGGGGGTAGGGGGGCTAAGGGGCCAGCATAGTCTCCTATGGCAGGCGGGCCCCAGGCAGTCACGGAGTTCATCCCCAGACAATCATTGTAGAGTCATCATTCAGAACTAGGATCTGGGGCAGCCCGGGCAGCTCCGCGGTTTAGCGCCGCCTTCAGCCCGGGGCCTGATCCGAGACCTGCGATCGAGTCCCACGTCAGGCTCCCAGCATGGAGCCTGCCTCTCCCTCTGTGTCTCTGCCTCTCTCTCTCTCTCTCTCTCTGTCTCTCATGAATAAATAAATGAAATCTTAAAAAAAAAAAAAAAAGAACAAGGATCTGGAGTTAAACTACCTAGGTTCAAATGCCCAAAGTGGCATCTTTGAACTGTGTGACCTAGGGGATGTGTATAGCTGCTCAGACCCTCAGTTTCTTTATTTGTAAAATGGAGTTGGTAATAGTACACCCTTCATGTGGTTGCTGTATGAAAATGAGCCAATATATCTAACTTGAAACAGCACTTGATTTGAATGAAATGAGTGCCTCGAAGCCATTTCCTGACAAGCTTTGCTTCCAGAAGTTCTTTTCTACCTTTCCAACTTTTCTATTTACAATTGTCCCCTCAGACCAAAAAAAAAAAAAAAAAAAAAAAAAAAAAAAAATTGAGAGAGAGCATGCCTGAGCAAGGGGAAGGGCAGACAGAATGGAGAGCAAATCCTTGAGCAGGCTCCCTGCTGAGTGCCTAGCTGTGGCCCGAGTACTCCCCATGCCCTGATAAGCTATATTACCTGTGTAGTATTGCTCACCCAGTCTTCCTGATTTTTCAAAGCCTAACTCAAATACTGCTAGGAAACCCCTCACCCTCAGGGCCCTCCTCTTCCTCCTCCTCCTCTACTTCTCTTAATCACAACCTTGATCGTTCTCCCAACTCTGTGTCTGATCTGTCTTCCCCAACAGGCTGGGACAAGGCCAGGATCTGACCCATTCATTTAATATTCAAGTTCTTATGAGCAGCCATAATACTTGGTACTATAAGGGCCTGTTCCAAACTAGTGGATGGAGGCAAAACATTAACATGATAAATAAGACTATCTCAGTACCAACCTACCTAGAAAGAATGAATAGATTGAATAGATGGAAGGTCCCATCTGGGAGCAGAGCTACAGGAATATAGCCAGGAAGTTTGGGGGTGGGTAGGTAGGGGACCCCCACCTGGTCCCTGAGAACTGGAGAGCTGGGAAGACTTGAGATTTGAGATTAATATGGGACAGTGGGGGGCGACCTTAGGTGGCCTTGGCTATGGTTGTAGGTTTCAGTGCCCAGAAACACTTGAGGGTTTAGGGAGAGGAACGGAGGCCACAGATCTGCAAGATGAGCTGGGCGGGAGGGCCGCCAGGCTGGACCTGGGCCTTGCAGCATCTCTAATTTCCTTTCTCTTTCTGCACTTTCTGCTGCCCTCTTTGCAGGGCCAGTGATGTATGATGTATGTAACGCAAAGATAGTTTAGATCTTATGCCACAAAACCTGGTTTTCAGCGGGGCGGGAGGGGGTATTGGGAGGAGGCACGAGCAGACAAGCTCACTAAAGTGCTAGTGCTGCCTTAGCCTTACAACTGAGGCTCTATTTTTCACATGTTGCCATCTTCCTTTTTTCTCCCCACATCAGTAGAAAATAGGAGCGTCCCCTCCTAGCCAGGTGCGTAGGAGCCACCCCCTCAAAGGATCCAAGAATGGACTCGTCCACTCACTCCCCTTCCCCCCCCCCACGTGAATGAGACACACAGCGCTGGTGATGGCTCACACACACAGCTGGTGATCTCTCTCTCTCTCTTTCACTCTGACACACACACACACACACACACACACACACACACACACACACACACACACACACACACACACACACACACACAGCTGGTGATCCCTTCCGCACATTTCTCACCCTATAGCAAATGGTTTCTCCTCCCAAGAAAAGACTCTAGATTCACCACCCCCCCCCCCGCCCAACACACGCTGGGCCTTTCAGGTAGTTCACCCCTCCCCCTGCCGCGGGTGTGGTGGCTTCTCCCTCCCCCACGGGTGCTGATGGTCTCGCCTCGCCGTCCCCGGGCGCCCCGGTGCGCTAGCGGCCGCCGCGGGAGAGCGAGCGGCCCGGGCGGGAAGCGCTGGACGAGCCCACTGCGCGGCCGGCGCGGGGGAAGCACGGGCTCCCAGTTCCACCTCCCCGTCTAAGTGCGGGTTTCCGCTCCTGCAGAGGGAGGCGGCGCCCGGGATCGGCCAGCGGCCTCGCGGGAGTGCGGGCGGCGGGACCGTCCATTGTTGCCTGGAAGGGAGGGGTGGGCGTGGCGGAGCCACCCCCTGGGCCAACTCTCCCGGGTCGACCTCGCTCGCCCATCCTTGCAGGAGCGGCGGCGCCAAGATGAGCGGAGAGGAGAACCCAGCCAGCAAGCCGACGCCGGTGCAGGACGTGCAGGGCGACGGACGCTGGATGTCCCTGGTGAGCGACCCGGCCCGCGAGACTCTGGAGTCCGGGAGGGGCCTCGGGAGAGCAGCTGTTTGGCGCTGTCTCTCTACGTGATTAGGAAACAGGGCAGTTGGGGTGGTGCTGCCTAAGGAAGCAGAGCGGGGCGGGCCCAGGAGCGCGCGTGGCACTGACTCCCCCTTGTACGTCCCCGAAGCACCATCGGTTCGTGGCCGACAGCAAAGATAAGGAACCCGAAGTCGTCTTCATCGGGGACTCCTTGGTCCAGCTAATGCACCAGTGCGAGGTGAGGCCCGTGCAGGTCCCAGTCCCCCTGCCCCACCCAGGCCTATGCCCTCTCACACCCGGATCAGAGCCCAGGCCAGATCCAGTATGAGGTACCCGAATAGCAGCAGGCAGCACCCACAACCCCAAATCTTGGTGTAAGGTGCAGCATTCTCCTGAGAAGGAACTGTGTGACTGGTCTTTGTCAGATTGAGGCTTTCTTGCAAGAAGGTTGCCTAAATTGAGACTCTATTGTTTGCTTAAGGGAGTGCACAGCCCAAATGGATGTCCATAAAGCTGTGGTCTTTCCACGAAGTGAAAGCTGTAATAGCACTCCACAAAGGGGGCTCAATTATGTTATCTTTCCACTAAGTGAGGTCAAACTGTAATAGCTTTCATGAATTGTAATGTTTTTGGTTCAATGCATGACTCAAGCAAATGGCTTTTCATAAAGTGAGTCTTGCTTCTGTGGGGCTCCGTGAAACAGAGAGTATAATAGGTTTGCATAAAGTGAGGTTTTGACCACACTGCTTCTGTAAGGCAGGGCTCTTCCACGATGACGTTTGGTTAACACTTGTACAGAGGGCAGTGGTCCCTGCTGTCAACACCCCGGTGCTCACACCACTTCTCATCTACAGATCTGGCGGGAGCTTTTTTCTCCTCTGCACGCGCTTAACTTTGGCATTGGCAGTGACAGCACGCAACATGTGCTTTGGCGGCTGGAGAATGGTGAGCTGGAACACATCCGGCCCAAGGTGAGCAGAGCCTGAGTGGGCAGCTAAAGCACCCTAAGCCTCTGCCCTTACCACTGCTTCATGCCTCTCTTTCCACAGATTGTGGTGGTCTGGGTGGGTACCAACAACCACGGGCACACAGCAGAGCAAGTGACTGGTGGCATCAAGGCCATTGTGCAGCTGGTGAACCAACGACAGCCCCAGGCCCGGGTCGTGGTACTGGTGAGAGCAGGGGAGGTCAGGGACGAAAGAATGGCAGTGGTCTGGGACCCCCTAGGGTGCAGCTGCAGCTGGCACAGTTCTGGGCAGCAAGGCGGCAGAACAGTGGCTTTCAGGCAAAAGCTCACATTGAAGCTTGCTACACACCCAGCAGCTGCATTTAAGGCCGTGTTCAGGGACCAGTAAGCCCCTTTTTCCTAAGGAACTGCTGATGATTCTGGGGGTGTTGCAAAACCCAAAATGGTTAGCCAAAAGTAGTCACATTCCTAGGGTGAATCCAGGCTCCACCCTTCCAGCTGGAATGTTTGCTACTCGGAAAGAGGGACTGACCCTTTGCCATCCATGCTGTCAACATTTTTATGATTGATACTTGGAAAGGGGCTGGCATCCGGAAGGTTCTTGCTGAGTTGGGGGTCTCAGACTTGGTATCAGGAATTATCCTGCCAACACCCTGCTTTCCCATTCTGAGTGTATTCCACAGGGCAGAACTCTGTGGGGCGGGTGAAGGGTTTGGCCCAGAGCACAGGATACCCAGATGCTGGTAGAGTGTCTCCTCACAACCCTTGGTGCCCCTCCCCAGGGCCTGCTTCCAAGGGGCCAGCACCCTAACCCACTTCGTGAGAAAAACCGGCGGGTGAACGAGCTGGTCCGAGCGGCACTGGCTGGCCACCCACGGGCGCACTTCCTGGATGCCGACCCTGGCTTTGTGCACTCAGACGGTACCATAAGCCACCATGACATGTACGATTAC